CCCTCGCTGGGTGTGTTCAAAAACCAACTAAAAACATGGTTATTCAGACAGGCCTTCCCCCCAGTCACCTAAGTTCTTTCCCCCCTTTTTTCTGGTTCTTAATGTTGCCATCTTGGATAATATTAATTATAATAATTGCATTATGTTAGTTATTGTTCTACATTGTTTTAATTTTTTTTAATTTTTGTAAGCCGCCCCGAGTAGACGTTGTCCTGGGGGGGCGGGGTAAAAATTGAATGAATGAATGAATGAATGAATGAATGAATGAATGAATAAATGAATAAATAAATAAATAAATATTACTACAGGGCAGCTACCCCACGTGGGGTCACCCCTGCACTGAGTGCCCACTGCAATGCTAACTCAAAAGAGGTTCTTTTCATCTTTGCCTTATATTGATCTCTCACCGGAACCCAAGTTGAAGCCGAGAGACACTCAGAAATAAGTATAATTGCACGGCATCATAAGGGGTCAGGCAGCTGGATATAAGTCAGGGGCCATTAAAAGAGCCAACATGGCATTTTTACTTTCTGTCCAATCAGGTACAGCTGCCTCAGAAGTCAGACCAGCAGCCAAACCCAGTTTCACAATTCGGATATTACTTCTAACTACAGTTTGAAATCTGCTTCAAATGAAGGTTTCAGTATCATTTGTAGGTTGATCACAAACTGTGTTTCTCCTATTTTTCTTATGGCTGTGTCCAGGACAATTAAGGAAGCTAACATTCAACAGCATTTGGGAAAATCAAGAATGGGAACCTAAGAAGCTGCATTCTGCTCAGCACTGTCAATGCAGACCAGTAACTCACCATCTCAGGTTTCAAGCAGGAGGATTTCTGGCTTCTACTGGGGATGCCAAATACTGAACTTCGAACCTTCTGCTTGCAAATCTGCTACTCTAGCATTGAACTATGAACCCCTTCCCATTTTCTTCTTCAGCCTCCTTATCTCAGAGAATGGGCATACATTGCTACTTACCTGCATTCAAGCCATCACTCTCCTCTTCTGCTGGCAGGACCTCTGTGTGTCTCAGCCTACAGCGACTGACAACCTGGATGCCAAAGCTGAGGACTGGATGGGTCAGCAGGAACTCTGAGATGGAACTGAAATATGCTTTGCCCTCCTCTTGGTTCTGCACAAGCTCCATCACATACAAGACCTTGGAGGAGGGAACCAGAATAGTAGCAAAATTAGCTCCTAATCAAGGAACTGCTACCAGCTTGTAACTGTGTAACAGTCTCCTATAGCAGAAAACATATGTACACACATACAAATTAGCCTGGAAAATATATTAGGAACAAAAGAATAAGAAAAAAGACCTCTTTCTCCAACGTCAGCAGAATATTTGGCCAACAGTACTGAATGAATCTTGACCTTAAATCTACCTGTTAGTCCCAATGAAAGTAGACCCATTAACCAACAGATGAATGGTGAGCCGATGCTTATGTAAATGTGACACTTTCTTTGATGGTTGGAAATGCCAATTTGATTCCAATGTTTCTTCATTTAAAACTAAAAATTCTAGACAACTGTTCTCAGAATGAAGTTTGTCCCTTCCAAAACAGTGTAAAAATTGTTATAAAACAACTGAGGAATCTAGTGCTTTGCCCAATCAGGAGGCTGCTACTATCTCTAGTAAAATAATAGCAGGCAAGTAGTTTTTCATGTTCTTGTTTACTGTGTAGCTGTGTAACAAATACCTTTGCATCCTGCACACAACCACTCCATTGCTGTTGATGCCTACCTTTCTCTGAACATCACTCAAAATCAGATACTCGGCAGACAGATCTAGGCAGGCCTTCAGGCTAGGAAGGATACTCATTGAGCTGAATATATCTGGAGAAAATCTGAAATTGAAACAGTGAGAAGACCAAAATAATTACTTTTGAGTTGTTCACAACTAGCTTTTGTTTTGATTGACTAACTACCAAAATGTCAATATATGTGACTTTTTCAGATATTCTCAAACGTGTGGAAGGGGTGCAAAATCAAGCTGAGTATTGTGTCCAAGCTGAGACATCTGGATTGAGTCTTCTCTGAGGAGTCAATGAGGCCAGGTTTGAAACTGGATCCAGGAGTCAAAAAGGAATTATGGTCCTGTGAATCATTCATTTTATGTAGTGGAAGGAGATCATCCTCAAGAGATTGGTTGTCCCTCCTACTTGCTCCCATAGGTAGAACTGATCAGCCAATCAGGCAGCATTAGGGCTCCCTTAAGAGAGAGGGACCAATCCTGGGTAAACCAGCCATTCTCTCCAGTAAATGCTCCTCCAAGGACCTGTTCATAACTCAAGGGAGGGGGAGGATGTCCTTTTGCTTCATAAAATGAACATTTTATGGTGAGTAACAGCATTCCCTTTTCCTGTCGCAGAGAAGAACACCCTCCAGAGATAGTATTTACCAAATCCTAACCTCCTAGGGTGGGATGGCAGAGAGGTTCACCGACCCCTACAAGTAGAAAAACATTCAAGTTGGATTTAGAAGAAAGAGGTCCTCCACCACTTGCTGAAGGACTCTCCTCACAGGCACCTCAACCATGGTAAAGCAGTCCATCTGGTAATGCCTGACAAAGGAAGGTGGCACCTCCAAGTGGCTGCCTTGCAAACGTCCTCCGGAGTGTGTGTATTCTGATACTAAAGGTGGTTAAAGTGGCCATGCTCCGAGTGGAGCGGGCAGTGATGATTCTAGGCAGCCATGAACCGGAACTCAGGCAGCCCAGACTGATGTTAATCAGCCACTGAGAGTTGATTGAGAAACCCATTTTTCCCCATGGTGGAAGGTCACAAGCAAAGCATCTGTATGCCCAAGTTCCAGATGGTTTGAGATTTGAGGGGCTGCCCTCCTTACATTCATGCCAAATCTTTTCAAGAGGCAATGGGGGTAAAAGAAAGGCAGGATCATCTCCTGTGACCAGTAAAAGGTGCAGTTTATATCTGAAACAAAGGATATAGGATAACTGTATATTTATGCATAAATACATAGCTCTGGTCAGGCCAATAATGCTTATAGCTCAAATACCCTCCTGTCTGATGTTGTCAGGATTGCAAATGATGCATAGGCCATAGTGCTGAAGTTGCATAATAACATTTAGCTTATATTATTAGAATGTTGTAATAGGTTTATATAACATTTACTGATGTGGCAAATTAACATACAGTCGTGCCTCGCTTTACGATTGCCCCGCATTACAACGAAACCGCATTACAACGATCTTTTCGCAATCGCAATTGTGATAGCAAAACAATGGTCTATATGGGGTTTTTTCGCTTTGTGATGATCGGTTCCCTGCTTCGGGAACCGATTCTTCGCAAAACGATGTTTTTTGAACAGCTGATCGGCGGTTTCAAAATGGCCGCCGGGTAAACAAAATGGTTCACCGCTGTTTTCTGGGACGTATTCCTCGCAAGACAGGCAGCGAAAATGGCTGCCCTATGGAGGATCTGTACTGTGAGTTTTGACCCAACTGGAACGCATTAAAATGTTTTTGCTTAACAGCGATTTTCCTCCAACGGATTATCATCATTAAGCGAGGCACCACTGTATTCCTTTGCTAACTTATGGATACTTATGGATACTGTATCTCACTTACTGGTACCTCACAGATACAAAGCCAAATAAGTCAAAACAAAGCCTGCTATCTGCTATGGTGGCTACTTGCCAGCCTCCCAATTTACAAAGGTCATGATTTGCTACCCCAGCAACACCAACAAAAATTCCTATAGAAAATATCTGAACCATGTGCAGAGCTCAGTTACTTAATGGCATTGTTAAAAAAATGGTGAGTTGATAAGGACTGATAAGAGAGTATAAATAACAGTCCAAGAGGATGGCTAGGCAAGGAGGGGAGAGACTCAGCTAGGGACAAATGTATTTTTCCCCTTTAATATTATAAATGTATGCTGATCTTTATTTACTTAATGCTTTAGTTTATTAAGATCATGTTGTTAATGTGACTTACTTAATTGAGATTTGATTTAGTTAAAATTATTGGATTACTTTTTTGAAACTTCAAATATTTTAGCTAGGCTCCTATTATTCTATTTTTGACATATTATATTAAGTTTGTAAATATAAATTTTGAGAATAATATCAAAATTTGTGTGCTTGTTCAATAAAAAAATCAACTAGAGACTGGTCTGGACAATCATAGGGAAATAATCTAAAGGATATCCAGAAGAAGAAAGTGAAGTATAGAAAGTGTAAACATTTTTATCTGGTTCTATAGGAATTAATCCTTTTCGGGAAAACTCCCACCTGTGACGAACACAGGATTCTGAGTGTTTCTCGAGGTTTATTAAGTTCTATAGGGCTCTTGGGCATATCTCCAGGCATTAGACTTTCTAATCTGACAACATGATACTCACAAGGAAAACAGATTTCCAAGTCAGAAGTTCCAAGGAAGTTTGTCAAAGTGGCTCAAAGGGAGGCTGTGCGAAGGCTTTCATGACTATATGGGGACCCCGGGCCATAAACAGTGCCAGTGCTGATGACATCACTGCCTAACCAAACAACACAACAAGTTTTTATCTGATGTCTAGTCTGTAATGTTTAATAAATGTCATGGAAGGAGACGATGTGGCTGCCTTACAAATCTGTCATCTGTACTCCTTTCATGAATGACATAGAGGCAGCAAGAGCCAACAAGCAGTGTGTCCCTTTAAGGAATTGGGCAAAGGTGAGGAGACATTAGGAGAGAAACACGGAGCCTCACCTTCCTCCAATACTGATCCCACAGACAGACTAATTCATCTTGTTTTGAGGCTTTGTGAGATTGATGACTGTGGGGCTGGAAGACAGGTTACTTACCTGTAACTGTCGTTCTTTGAGGGGTTATCTGTGAATTCAGACAACCCACACAACCTCCCCTTTGTCTGACATGCATTGTCTTTTATTCAGCAGGGGGCATGGGAACTAAAAGATAACCATTTAAAATAAATAAAATCAAAAATTTGTTTAGTTTTGATTTTTGACTTTTTTGGTTCGTCTGAAATGGTTCTTTTCTCTTTTTTGATACCAATGGCATCAGTTGAAAGTGAAGTGGGTGGGGCTGAAACAGGTTCTTTCAATGGTGTCTGTTGCAAGGTCTCTGATGCCTGTGGAATCAATTCTTCCTAGGTGTTCAGTGTCCATGAGTACCAACTTAGGAGGAGTCTTGTAGATTGTAACTGATGATTCCAGAGTTTTCTTTGATATCGTGTCACTTGCCTTAAGTAACCTTCGCCAAAAGTATAAGTCTTGATCGTCTGTTTCTTATGGCAACCTCGGTGATTTTTTTTAACAAATTTGGCACAATTGTGTATGATGTACTTGGAGTGTCTACCTATGAGAGGCATTTTATTTTTACAAGTGTCACACTTCTTAAAAGTGACCCTAGACATCATTAACTGTAGGAACAAAAAGTAGATGGGCAAATACAGAGTTTGCATGTTTTTCAGGTTCAACCGGGGCTAACTGAAGACAAGGATAAGACTGAAGAATTATTTAGAGAAATTATGGTACATCAAACTCCAGATGACTGCTGAGGTGCCACTTCAATCGTGATCAAAACAGAACTGAGAGATAACTGAGAGTATTTCCCTCAGTTCCTCCATCTGCCAATGTACAAGAAAAGACACAGCAGCACGGCAGACAGAATGGTGAACGATAACAATTTTTTAAAAGGAACACACAAAGGAAGAAGGACGATGAGAATGACAGAAGGTAAGGTGAATGGAAAGGAAAAGGAAAGAATAGTTCTAGCAAACGTTCCTATGACTTTCCTCATCTGAGGGATAACCAGTAAGTGTGGGGACACGCACAGTGAAGGAGATATTCCAATAGTTCTCTCTTTAAGATCTAGAATATTCTGACAAGTTTCACACAGGCTCAGAAACAGCTAATATTTACAAAACAGTTAATATTTCAAGAAGTTACAAAAAATAGTAATGAAGTTTGTCTGGCAAGGGAAAAAAAGCTAGAATAAAAATCAAAGCACTTCAAGACACAAAACAAAGAGCAAGCTTTGGATTTCCAGATTGTTTTTTACATTACAAAGCCTGTGCTCTAGTTTGGATAAAGGAGTGGATAGTTTTAGAAAACGACAGAGTACTAAAACTACAAGGACATGATTTAAACCTAGGGTAGCCTGTTTTCCTATGGTTTCAAAAAGCAAAAGATTTACAAATTAATAGCATGTGCATAGCAGAGCCAATAATTCCAGTAATACTCACCGAACAGTCTGCAGACAGGTCCATGATACAGTGCACCACATTTTCAGTTCCCGATTCTGATCTGCTCCTGTAATGAGGAACCTCCAAAACGGAACTCTGGAGTAAGGTAGTAATGAAGAAAGGAATCGAGTTTTAGAAAAGGTCATTTTGTTTACTTCCAGGTCCCCCCTCTCTACTAGAACTAAATTCAAGTAAATGCAAGTAACATGAAGCTCTTATGGAAAGAGGACAAAAGAAAAATAGAACTGTGACTTACTCAGGGTCTTGTTTTTTATGGTTGTCACAAAAGAGCAAGCAGGAGAGCGGCCTGCCGTCATGGGGCTTCCACTCGTGGAGGCATCTAGGAAGGAAATTTCAAGAAATGATGACCAAGGAGCCAGCTCCCTCCTAAGTGCAGGGATAAAAGGCTCCAAAGAAAGTATGAGAAGCACTGATTAAAAGGCCGCCTTGTTTTGGTTCTGAAATTACCTTGGCTCATCTTGTCCTTCAATGTAAATCTGCCAGAATTTAACATAGCCATCGTGGCTTGCTGTGGCTAAAACTGTTCCGTCCGGGGAGAGGGCTCCTTCACTCAGGCGCTGGAAAGGAACCGGAAAACTAAGAATTGAATAGTTGGTCTTTAAGCCAACAGTGCAGCTTCACTGAAATAGCAGGCAAGTAGTTGGAATTTGTTTATTTATTTATTACATTTATAGCCAAAATAGCAGGCAACTAGTGGGAATTTATTTATTTATTTATTACATTTATAGCCCACCCACCTAGTCCTACAGACTACTCTGGGTGGGTAACAACATATCATGCAACAATTTAACAATTTAAACTAAGAAACAAGCCCAAAGTCTCATATATAAAGTTGCTGTTCCTTTTTCTCATAATCAAAATTTACATAATCACAACATTTAAAATACTGATGTGGCCTAGAATGCAAGTTCTTAATTTTCTGTTGATTCCTAACCATAATTCCAGGTTCAGACATCGCAGAAGGTTTTCCCTTTCTAGGCTTATTTATCTGCATGGACAAAGCAGAGATGTACACTAAAATATTTCCTTATTCAAATTATAGTTTATTCTGCCAGGATATTATACCTATAGTCTGGATAACAGCTTGTTCACTCACTCTAGATAAGCTACCAGCTTGCCCTGGTCTTCTTGCCACTGTCATTGAAAACCAAGTAAATACAGCCACCAGACTTTTCAGAACACTGAAAGCTGAAAGTCTGAGGAATTAAGACATACATAATTCAGGGTGGTGGTGGTAATTTTAATATCCCGTTTCAAAATGACAATGAGGTCATCTGCCTCCTACCTCTGGAGAGCAGCAAAACTCTTACCGTACTGTGCCCTTTGACCACAATAAACCCTTCTTTGATGTTAGTGACTTCTACTGGCCATGAACTGTGATTGGCTCGGATTATGTCAAGGTCCCAGACCTCCGCCTAAAAAGAGGATAGCAAACACATAAACTGCATGGTGATGTTCCTCCAGGAATTAAGTCATCCACTAGCTAGTTACCAGTCTGCTTTGCATTCTCTGCCTATATTCCGTGAAATCCTCAGAAGGATTCCTCAGAAGAACAAGTCAGCCAAACATAGGATTGCATTTGCTCATCATTCCTTACATATGTTTTTGCTCTGGGGTGTACCAGTTTACTGTGAAGCACAGCAGCAAATCACAGCCAATGTCCCGAGAAGCATCTAGTCACAATCTTGAAAAATACAAATACCCTGATTTTCTGCTAGTTATACAACAGGATCCCTGTATTTGCAGGATCAGTATTCACAGTCTAAAACTATTAGAATGAAAAACCCAGAAATATGTATTTCTGTTATAGTATATAATTACCAGAACTGGCCACTAGAGGGAACCAGAATGAATGCTACACATAGGTTTTGTTACTACCTGTGGTTTTTGGCATATATGGGTGGTGGGGCTTGGAACCAACGCCCAGGGATATTGCAGTCCTACTGTATTCATGGGGTTAAAAATTTCACCATAAAAACATACACATCTAATCAATGAAACAAGCCATTAATATATTCCCACATTTGACAGAGTATGACTGCACCCCTGGAAATAAGCTCCAATGAACTGTGCTTCTACGACCATAAATTGTGAAACACATTGAGCTTTATGTACAAAAACCTTTGTCAGCTGAAATGCATCCTTTGGCTTTAATTAAAATATTCTGAGCACTGATTTTTAAACATTTTTGTCAGGTACACCTGTAATTCTCAATGGGGTCCACTTTGAGGGTGGGGGTGATTAGAACCACTTACCCTGTCCTCATGTAACAGCGCCAGAGTCTGACTGCCCTCCTCACAACTGTCATCGTTCTCATCAGGGATAAAGGGGCACCAAATTATCCTTCTGAAGCTGTTCAGAGGTGTACCCTCGGGTCGTTTGATGTTCACCAAAATCTCTTCTCTGGTTGTGAAGTTAAAGAAGAGCTAACCATTATTCTCCTTTATAAAAAATCTCCAAGAAATGTAAAGATTAACCATATCTGGACTTATTTCAGATAGGCTCAGCCGCAGAGAACAGGTAATTGGGCCATGTTTTTAAAGCAGATTCACAGAAACTAACACAATATGACTGTTCAGTTCAGGATGCTTTCACATGCCATAAGGCCCAGCTGCCTTGAAGAATACCTTTTTATTTTTACTTTTATTAATTTAAAAATGTTTATTCATTATTTTTTCTGCCCATTAGAACCACTTAAATAACATGTATTTTAAAAATCTTGTAAGACATTAAAAAAATTAAATAACCAAAGGTCAAATGGAATGGTACTATTCTGAAAGCACCCTGGAAACTCATCAAAAATGTAATCAGCAATGTACAGAAATCAAATGGACTGATAGTTGATTCTTATTTCAATGCTACTGAAGGGACAATGTTATTTACCACACCTCCACACCTTGGCAGATGCTTAGGAGTGGAAAGTAGCAGAAGACTGTTAAGACACTGAGGTGTATTTCCCCTCTTAGTTAACAGGGTTCAGGGATGCTGTATGGAAATACAGCCTTGACTTTTGATAATTTCCCATGACTTTCCTCTCCCTGAGATGAATGTCTTGCTCTGCCTAATAATAGGGCCTGCCCTGCAACCTCTGGCCTATACAAGTGCCAACACTAGAAGTCTCTCCCACAAAGTTAGTCTCAAGCAAGGGGATACTGGATTTTTCCATTCTCCATGGTCAGGCGCCAGACAAAAAGGTTTCCAGCTTCATCCAAACAGGCCACCTGATTGGAATTGAGGTGAGCAAAGGCTAGGTCTGCTACGCCACCGGTGAAGCCTTTCAGCAAGGTCCTTTCAGCTGTGCTGACACTGAGAACTCGTACCATGGCAGAGCCATTGCTGGCACCTGTTATTAAAAAGCAAGAAAATGTGAGTGAAAATGATGGCAATGGCAACACAAAGCCATTGTGAACACAGGAGATGTTGAAGCAAAACCCCACGTTCCCAAGTTCCTAAGTAAATAAGTACTGTATGTATGTATGTATGTATGTATGTATGTATGTATGTATGTATGTATGTATGTATGTATGTATGTATGTATGTATGTATGTATGTATGTATGTATGTACGTATGTACGTATGTATTTATTTAATCTGATTTATATCCCGCCCATCTGGTATATTCCATGTATAAGATGATACTATTATCTACAATCTTTAGAGTAAAAATTGAGGGTCATCTTATACACGGAAAGGGGGGAAAGGGATCAAAACGCTGCAGGATCGCAGCGCTATGATCCTGCAGCTGTTTCATCGTTGCTTTCCCCACGACTTCATAAGCCCGGTGGGGAAAGCAGCGATGAAAGCGCTATGATCCTGCAGCTGTTTCATCGCTGCTTTCCCCATGACTTCATAAGCCCCGTGGGGAAAGCAGCGATGAAAGGGCTGCATGATCAAAAGACTATGATCCTGCAGCCCTTTCATCACTGCTTTACCCCTGCCACTTCCTAAGACGCTGCTTTCCCCCTCCACTTCCGCAGCCNTAAGACGCTGCTTTTCGCCCTCCACTTCCGCAGCCTTTTGAACCTGCTTTCGCGGGGCTTAGGAAATGGAGGGGGAAAGCAGCAATCAAATTTTCTTATTTGGGGTTGGAAAAGTGGGGGTCATCTTATACACGGGAAAATACGGTAAGTAGAGAGATGCCTCACCTCTAATGGCATATGCCAAATAGGCATTTGACACGGCTATCAGGTTACCATAGTAATATTTCTGCTCCCAATCATACCTGGCCACTGGCTGGATTTTTACCTGGATGGATTAAAGGGAAACAAAGAACAAATGAAGTGTTGTACAAAACCCAACATTTATGAAAAGAGAAAGCTTGTTGTTGCCAGAAACCTGTAAGAGGTCATAAGGCTGTGAGAAAAATAGGAACACAAAACTTTCAAGATGTGGCTTGACTTTGGCTGAGTGCCAGTGTTGTGTAGTGATCATAGCACTTTAGGTAAAGGTTCCCCTTGACATTTGGTCCAGTCGTGTCCGACTCTAAGGCGCCGTGCTCATCCCCGTCTCCAAGCCATAGAGCCAGCGTTTGTCCATAGACAATTTCCGTGGTCAAGTGGCCAGCGTGACTAGACACAGAACGCTGTTACCTTCCCACCGAGGGGGTACCTATTTTTCTACTCTCATTTACATGTTTTTGAACTGCTAGGTTGGCAGGAGCTGGGACAAGCGACGGGAGCTCATTCCGTCACATGGATTCGATCTTACGACAGCTGGTCTTCTGAACTTGCAGCACAGAGCCTTCTGCAGTTCAACCTGCAGGGCCACCATGTCCCATAACACATTATGACACTGGAAATACATTGGAAGTCCAAGTCTCCAGCAAGCCCATATAAATCACTGGGTGACCTTAGGCCAGCCGCACATTCCGCCTGACCTATCCCACAGGCTTGTCGCAAAGATAAAAGTGAGTAGGAGGAAAACAAGGTACATAGCCTTGAGATCACTTAAAGAAATGCAAGATATAAAGGAATTTCTATCACCCTTACAATTGGGTGTACTGGGCAGGGTAATCAGGGTTGCAATACAACAACAACACCTGAAAGGCCCACCCTCCTTCTCTCTGCTGTAAGACCAACAACACTTGCTTCAAGACAGCATGTAGAATACAAGACAGGAGAAGCAAGGAAGGACAGAATGAAAAAAAATGGCTTATGCCTAATTAACGAGGAACATCCATTGCAGGATGCAGTACAAAAGAAGACTTGGTCAGGTGCACCCTGTGTAATCACTGGTGTTTTGTTCAGATGTCTTCGTGTTCTGACAACAAAAAGGAAGTATAAAGAGTTGAAATATAGATGGAGGAATGGTGGAGGGGAGAGACATGGATGTTGAGACTCAGAAGTCAACTGAAAGAAGTTTTGCCCCATAAATAATCTTTAATGATTTATGGCAAATGAATTACTGACTGGTAACACCTAAAATTGCACACCCAACAAATCTGGAGAACATCAGGTTGAGAAAGGCTACTTTACACACTAACCAAATGGATCTTCTAATTTTTACCTTGTTGCTCCCTCTAGCTTTACTGGTGATACTGGAGTCACTGCTAGCTACTATTTCAACATCTTTTGCAGTTATGACCACACAGGTGGAGCTATCGTCTCCAGAGAGGCAGCTAGAATATAGGAAAGGGAAAGAAAAAGTCAAATCCCAAAACATTATGTTTGGACATTAAGGCTGTCATCAGTTCAAAGACCCTGACCTGAACGAAGGCATTGATTTGAACAGCAATGTTTGTTACCCTGTTTCCCCGAAAATACTACCTAACCTGAAAATAAGCCCTAGTATGATTTTTCAGGGTGCCCATAATATAAGCCCTACCCCCAAAATAAGCCCTAGTTAAGTGAAAACCTGCCCTCCACCACTGTGCAGCAACCAGAAGATGACATGACTGTATTTGAATAAATGTAGATTATTCTACATTTAAAAAATTAAAAATTAAGAAAATAAGCCCTACTGCGTTTCTGGAGCAAAAATTCATATAAGACCCTGTCTTATTTTCGGGAAAACACGGTATGCTGATGTAACATTTTTACTGTCTGTCTTCTTGCAGATGGTAAGACTATATCCCATCCATGACAGAATTGTAAGATGGAAAACAACATAAGGCTGGAACTCTAAACATTTACTTTGATCTCTGATAATGAGGTCTCTATTACTGTACAAAAGTGCACTACCACGTACCCCAAGAACTCTTCCTTATCTGTGAGACAACACTCTAGCTTAAATCTTGCTCATCATGGAAACGGCAAACAATGATACAAAGGTTTAAGCACCAAATAAAAAAATAAAACAAAAAACAAAACAATCCTAGACTCTTAGAAACCTTAGTAGTTAGAGAAGAGACCGTTTATGAACTAAGCGTATTCCAGCAGACCCATATTAAAAAACACATCAGGCTCTCAGGTTTAACTGCTGTCCCACTCCCAGACAAAACACCTACATGACTTGTTTCTCTTGCAGGGTTCCCACGGGGACTGGTTGGGGGACTGACTTGGTCAAAGGAAGGCCATCCCCACCTGCTAAGGGATCTGGCACTAGCAAACCATTTAGATCTCCATTGTATGAACTGGATGCCCTCTGGTTTTCATTCACCAAACCTAAATTAGGAAATAAAATAAACAGTTATGTTAAGCACTGAAAGTCAGCATGACTTTTCAAAGTTATTTGTAAGGCTATGGCTCAGTATAGTAATCATACTAAAACACAATTAGCAGAAACCCAAGTTTGCCAACAAAATTGAAATCATGGTGCCCGATTCTGGCTTACCGGCCTATATGACACTTACAAGGACACTCTATAACAGAAGTTCTTCACCTTTTTAGTGGTCAGCACTCCCTTGAATTTCAAAATACATTTTCGCACCCCTTTGAAAAATGTGTTCCAATTTGTTAGAAAATTACATTTACTGCGAAACAGTTTATTTACTGAAAAACCCATACATGTAATGACATAATATTAAAATAATGTCTCAGTTTTTAGTGGCTAATTTGTTGTTATTCTTAATATTTTGAAAGCGGGTTTCCTTTTCTGAAAGAGCTACACGTATGTCATCACTTGCATTTAAGTGATTTTTTTCTTTTTATATGCAAAAGCGATGAAAATCCCATTTCACACAGACAGGTGGTAGGAAATGGCAGGTCTGCAATGCTGCCTTCACCAGTTGTGGAAATGGTTCTAACTGAGCCCATGAGAATTGTTCTAAAGTCCAAATTTTCAAATTCCATTTGAATATGTGCACTGGCCTGTATTTCAATATAATCTTTTATTAAATTACTGTAAGCTATAAAATTAAGGTCAAAAATAAATTGATCCATGGAAAAATGTCCATGAAAAGATGCACTAAATTGTTGCAAATATATTACAAGTTGAGGTAAAATTGTGATCTTCGAAATGGCAGGTCTGCAATGCTGCCTTCACCAGTTGTGGAAATGGTTCTAACTGAGCCCATGAGAATTGTTCTAAAGTCCAAATTTTCAAATTCCATTTGAATATGTGCACTGGCCTGTATTTCAATATAATCTTTTATTAAATTACTGTAAGCTATAAAATTAAGGTCAAAAATAAATTGATCCATGGAAAAATGTCCATGAAAAGATGCACTAAATTGTTGCAAATATATTACAAGTTGAGGTAAAATTGTGATCTTCTCATTTTCCAGAATAATTTCATCAGCAAGGGAAAGTTTGCAAAATTACGTTTTTCAGTTTGCTGTATCCAAATGTTTAGTTTTTCAACAAAAGCAGATACTTTTTCAGTTGCTGCTACTATGTTTTTAACCACATCCTTGCATTGCTATATTTAATTCATTCAGGTGGGTGAATATATCTGCTAAGTAGGCCAGTTAAAGTATTGCATTTCTTCTTTCAAGGTCTTTAACTAAATTAAAATTTTGGTTAGCAAGAAACCAAAGTAATTAGTAAGTTATTAGTAGTTAGTAATTTCCCCACAAATTTCAAAAACCCTGCTTAGTACACGTCCCTTAGAGAGCCACCTTATGTCAGTACAGTATGGTCAGCACTGTATTCTTCTAAAAAAGCACAAAGGTACGATTTATTTATTTATTCTATTTATATCTCGCCTACCTGGGCTTTGTGACCATTCTAGGCAGCTATGATGATTAAGCACCCATCCTTGGATATAATTTACTACATTTACTCCAGTAGCTAAGTGTTGTTTTAACTTTTCTGGTAGTAAGTTATTAGTAGTTAGTAATTTCCCCACAAATTTCAAAAACCCTGCTTAGTACACGTCCCTTAGAGAGCCACCTTATGTCAGCACAATATGCTCAGCACTGTATTCTTCTAAAAAAGCACAAAAGTACGATTTATTTATTTATTCTATCCATATTTATTTATTTATTTAGTTTATATGCCGCCCACTCTACCCAGAGGTATATCCCACCTATCTGGTTGTCGTGACCATTCTAGGCGGCTATGATGATTAAGCATCCATCCTTGGATATAATTTACTACATTTACTCCAGTAGCTAAGTGTTGTTTTAACTTTTCTGGAACGTTTTTGATACAAGTACATGGCGGTACAACATGCAAAGTGTTATTATAACTTGTGGTACTTTTTTCTTCATATATGCAAAAAATCTGGAATTTTTGCCTAACACTGCAAGGGGCATCATCAGTGCAAATTGATCCTATTACATCCATTGGTATTTGATGTTTCCCCCAAAAAAGTTTTTAACAAGTTTTTAACAAGTTTTAAAAACATCGGTTCCTTTTGCTGGGAACTCGTTGCTCACAAAAGAAAAAATCTTCCAAAATTTCCTTTTCCTTCATGTACAGTGGTGCCTCGCATTACGATGTTAATTCATTCCAGCAAAATCGCTGTAGAACGAAAACGTCGTAATGCAAAAATAAAAAGCCCATTCAAACGCACTGAAACCCCTTCAATGTGTTCCAATGGGCTGGAAACTCACCGTCCAGTGAAGATCCTCCACAGCGTGGTCATTTTTGCTGCCTGTGCAGCGAGGAATCCGTCCCAAAAAACAGCGGGGAGCCATTTTATTTACATGGTGCCAATTTTGAAACCGCCGATCAGCTGGAGGAAAATCGTCGTTTTGCGAAGAATTGGTTCCCGAAGCAGGGAACCGATCATCGGAAAGTGAAAAAACACCATTCAGACCATCATTTTGCAATCGCAATTGCAAAAAGATCGTAGTAATGCGGTTTCGTCGTAATGCAAGGTACCACTGTATTGCACAAATACTAATAGCCGACTGCAATTAGCAACATCAGTTGACTCGTCCAAGTGAATACTCACTTTCAGAGGACGAGCTTTGATATCTTGTACTATTTGCACTTTCAAAGGACGGGCTTTGATCTCTTGAATGCACAATTAAATCACATTATTTCCTGGTGGAATCTGCTGAATTTTCTTACAATATGTGTTTCAGAACCTAATAGAATTTTCACAATTTCCAACGCACATAGTTTTACCAATTCCTAGTGTGCTCATGTGGTGAGAAGACTTTAAGAAGACTGAGCTCTCTGGGATAACTGAAAATCATGTATTTATTTAAAATATTTTTAAATAGCAAATATTTTAATAAATATTTTACATCAGAATAAGGCTTGGCGAAAAAGTAAGCTTTATGATTTGTTGGTTGAAATTTTGTTGCCTAGGACTGCAGGATAGGTCAGTGGTTTAGACCTCTGGCTGCGGAGCTAGAGGTTGCAAGTTCGATTCTCCACTGTGCCTCCTTTACAGGGGATGGACTCAGTGATCCATAGGGTCCCTTTCAACTCTGCAGTTCTAAGATAGTAGTAGTAGTAGTAGTAGTAGTAGTAGTAGTAGTAGTAGTAGTAGTAGTAGTAGGACTCAGTGATCCATAGGGGCCCTTTCAACTCTGCAGTTCTAAGATAGTAGTAGTAGTAGTAGTAGTAGTAGTAGTAGTAGTAGTAGTAGTAGTAGTAGTCGTCGTCCCACTGAATCAGGGGAAATTTGGTGAGTTAGTGCTTCCATAAATTCCATTTATTCAGTGGACCTACTTTAGTTGTAACTTACTACGACAGCAACAGGATTTCAACCAAAGGAAATTTCAAGAAGTAAATTCCATATGAGTGAAAATGAGAAAAGGCCTGTCTTTCTGTTTTATACAATCTACCAAAGAGATATATGGTTTGGAGGCCATGACAGAGAAGGCCCAACTCTAACATTAGCATGCTGTAAAAATCGACAAACTTTTGACTAGATCTGTACTTGTGAAATGAGAAGCCTTTCTTTCACTTTTGAAAGTCATGTATTTATTTAAACTATTTCTGGACTGCTTCTCTCTACTCATTAGGCAAAAAATATACACTGACCAAAAAACAATGAGCAACATTTTGTGCAACAAAACCATAGATTAATAATATAACCGGAAGATGGCCTAACTAATAAAAGCTCAACAGAAGAACTCTGTCTTCCCTGGCAGGAAAGTATACAGGACGTAGTCTAGTAATATCCCTAGTGAAGGAGTTCTAAAACTGACCTGCTGTTACAGAAAAGACCCTGAGCTGGATATCCACCAAGTCTTTGATAATTAATACTCCAGATGCTGATATGTTTGTGCCTGAATGCAGGAGTGGAGTTGGGAGAGGAGAAAAGAATAACAGAAAACAGAACGGAAGAAACAGGAAGCTAAAATTTCAATGGAAACAGTCTACAAGGAGCACTGCAGGGCATGCATGCAAACATCCTGCTTCTGTGAACATGCTTCAGGAGACATACTCCTAGCTTTTGACACAGGCAAACAGCAGCAGGTACAAAGAAACAGCCATGATAACTTGATTAATCCTCACAACTACAGCCCAAACATCAGGAATAGTATCAAATGCTGTAATGGATTGACCCATACCCCGAAAGAACAAGGCTCCTCAAGCTGGCAGGGCCACCTTTGAATGTGGGCATCTAGAGCCCAATTTTAACTCACGATACTGAATGATGCTCAGTAGGAGATTCCTACGTGAAGGCAAAAACGGCAGGACCAGAGAACCCCATTTTGATCCCAGGTAAAATTCCTTCCCAGCATCTTTAAGGAGACAAAGCTCGGTGGAATCCACAAACCAGCCTATAATAATATTAAAAGGTTGTGTGGTTCAGAATTGCACTAATGCAGAAATAATTATTATCATGGATAATGCAGAAAATTCTAGATCAGAGTCTCAAACATTCATGGCAGATGTGTGTGCTGAGTCTGTTTATATGAGGTGAGCTTATACATACAGTGGTGCCTCGCATTACAACGTTAATTCATTCCAGCGAAATCACTGTAGAACAAAAACGTCGTAATGCGAAATTAAAAAGCCCATAGAAATGCATTAAAACCCAATTAATG